CTCAGAATGATGCATTGGCTTCTTTTTAAAAAAAGATTTATTTATTTTAATCAAAAAGGCAGATTTACAGGGAGAAGGAGAGAAATAGAAATATTTTGTATCTACTGGTTCATTCCCCAAATTGCTATAATGGCCAGAGCAGAGCCAATCTGAACCTGGGAGCCAGGAATTTCTTCCAGGTGTTCCATATAGGTACATGGTCCCAAGGCTTTGGATCATTCCCCACTGCTTTCCCAGGCAGGCCCTATCAGGGAGCTGGAAGGAAAGTGGGGCAGCTGGGACTCATACTGGTACCCATATGGAATGCCAGTACTTTCAGGTTGAGGATTAGCCAGTAGGGCCATTGTTTAGGTCACTGTTTTGACTTTTTTGTAATCTATTTTTAAATTTCTATTATTTTCCAGAAGTTATTACAGTAGCACTCACTTCACAGTGACAAGCTTAACTTTCTGATATATAAATGTATCATGATGTGGCAAATAGAAAAAAAAAAGGAAGAAAATAAAATAGTGTAGCATAAAAGTATAATAAAATTAAAATTGAAATTCTGCTATCACTCAGGAGTAAAGATGCATGCTCTATACATGCGGTAGACAATTTCATGTATGCCAATTTTCACTTATAGAGATTAAATGTTGTATTCTGTATATTAGTTGTGGCAGATCATAGAGAACATATATTTATTTGCCTTTTGTGGACTGACTTATTTCACTAAGCATAATGGTTTTTAGCTGGGTCCATTTTAGTAAGATTTCATTATTTTTTTTGGATCAGTAGTATTCCATGTGTAAATGTACAATATTTTCTTTATTCATTCGTCTGTTTGTTGGTGTCTGGGTTGGTTCCATGTCTTAGCTATGGTGAATTGTGCTGCTATAAACCTGGTGTTGCAAGTATCTTTCATGTGCAGATTTCATTTCTTTTGGATATATTCCCAAGGGTTGGATAGATCAGCTTTCAGCTATTTCCACACCGATTTGCATAGTGGTTACAGTAGTTTACATTCCCAACAGTAGATTACGGTATCTTTTCCCCCACAACCTCGCCAGAATAAATTTCTTTTACCATTCTTAACAGTACATGAACTTTTCAGTGATTCATTTGCAGTTACTTCTCTCTTGCCTTTTTTTCTCTTGTTTTCATGCATTTTGCCTCTGGCTATGTAGTAATTTGTGTACATTTTCCTTTTACTCTTCCAAGTGGCAACTTGCTCATTCTTCCATCTAGAAAAATTTCTTTCCATCTCAAATACTTCTTTTATAGCATTTATTTTAGTGTAGGTTTGCTATACATTCTTCCTTCTCACCTGAACTTTCTTTAAAATTTTCAGCATTTTTAGAGCGAAACACATATTAGCCAGTTGAGCCATTGTGCTGGCCCCAGTATTGAGAATTATAAAGGTCAATTTTCAGTGTCTTAATAGGATTTTTTTTAACTGAAAGGACACCTTAAGTCCAGTGTGCATCCCTTTTGAAAGATGAAGTCCTAGCTCCTTTTGAAATCAGCAAGTTCTTAAACCTGATTAAAGGGCACTGTGAGAGTACATGTTGGGCTTCCCTGGGATCCTTTACAGAGTCTGGTGACTTTGGAACAGTCAAGTAAATGGTCAAGATTGTCTGAGGTGTTGTTTTACTGGAAAGTTTAAGAACTGATGTAAAAGCCTGGGTTATTTTCAGTTCGGGGTAATGTGGAGTGGCATGCAGTTTTAAAGTATTTGGTTTTGTGGTTATGATCCTTAAGGGAGCTTCGACTGCAGACGAAAATGCAGAGGTAGCACAGCTCTGTTCTCTCTCTGCCATTGGGGGAGTGAAATTTTACACACCAAGCACATGGTGTCCCTCATTTTAAAAAGCAGCCTTTATTAGAAAGTGTATTAGTTTTTTTTTCAAAATTTAAATAATTTATCTTCTTCCTCTTGAAATGGAAAAGGATCCTTTATTATGTTGATGATTACATCTGCATTTAATTTTCCTACAATATTGTATCATAATATTAAGAGATATGTAATGTTTTGATAAATGTATTCTTTATCAAAAAGAATCTTTTTTTAAAAAAATACGTTTTTGAATGTCATTGTTTAATATGAATCATGTAGATGTTGATAATATACTGTTTATTACATGTTTAATGTTTCAAGAGAGTCACTAAATTGCTTTTTGGCATACATATACATATTATATACACACTATTATATATGTTGTATATAATCTGATTGTTGGTTTTTTTTTTTTAGTGACATTAAAAGCATGTAGAGTAATAGTAGTGGATATTAATTGTCTCCCCACCTGTATTTAGGGGTGTTCAAATGCTTTGATATTTACAAAGTTGTATTATCAAAGTAAAAGTGCACCTGTAAAGCATATAGGGACTACAAATTAGGAATAAAACAATTTTCTTTTATTAAAATATCAGTATTTTTAAAAAGATGGTAAATCTTAGTTTTGGCTCATGAATTCACATTTGGTTATCTAAATCTCTGAAATGATTATGCAAGTCTGATTTTTACAAAGAATGATGAGTTTTTACTAAACTGTTTTAAATTTTGATACTGAATGGGAGAGAAATAGTGTTTTTCTTTTACCTGTCTCTATTTCCTGTGCATGTTTTTGCAAGTGTTGAAGGATAAATAAATTTACATTTTTCCTTTTGTCAATGAAGAATATATGTTTCATCTTTCAATTAAAAGGCTTGAAACTTTTTTTTTCAAAGGGTACTTCCTGTTGGGGCTGCAGTTATTGCTTTTGGTTTGGCTTAATTGGTTTGCACCTGGTATCTTTGTGAAAGATTGCTGATTGTTGACTGTCACATGACTTGCTCTGTATAGAGGCTTCATTCTTTCAGTTGAACAGTGCTGATATTGTTTCGCATCCTCTTTCAGCAGCAATTGTAGTGGTGCTGTTGGTTGTTTGGGGTAGTATAGACTCACTTGCATTGAGTGATTGACCATAGTGTTTATAGTATAAATAGTAATGCATGTTTAACAGAGTGATATTCAGCAGTGCTTGTGATTATAGATGTGAAAACACCTAGATCAGAGCTTGGCATCAGTGTAGGTAACTATCTTTTTTTTGGAGGGGGGCTTACATGTTTAAACAATTGTTGTTCTCTCATGAATTAATCTTTAATATATTTACACCCAAGACCCAGAATATTTCCCTAGACAGATTTTTCCTCATAATTTGTGTTTCTCTTCTAATTGATATGGCTGTCTAACCTAATGATATTAAATTTTTAAGAAATTTTTTTAAAAACTAGATCTATGGTGCCATTTTAATTTATATGCAAATATGTTTTATGAGACCAATCATGGAAGGTATAATTCAGAATTAAATTGGCAGCAGTAAACCTTACATCTTCTTCTCACAGCAATTTCTGAGCACTTTGTTGTGGTAAGCACACTTACTAGAACACTTGACAATTATCAAGTGTTCTCAGTTTCTTAAATTGCATTAAATTCCTTCAAATGGCATATAAGGTTTGTGAATTATGAGTCTCTGTTCTTAGATCTAGAGTTTGCCTCTTGTTCTTTACCCTGTGAAATTATTTTTTATTTAAAATTTTCGTATCAGTTGTAATTTTCTGTGTGAACTAATCGCTTAAGTAGAATACACTTTGAGTAACTATTAAATTAAAAAATCTTCAATGATTTTAGTATAAATTAGGAATTAGTCAATTAGAGATTTAGTCTAATTTGTTCTTTATTTTTAATAATATTTAGTTATAAATCATATTTTTAGAGTTCAAGGTTTTGATATTTTTGGGAGGTTTGACATTTGTAATGTAAACTTTTTGGATATCCATTACTGAATTTTAATTTTTATTGTGTAATTCTGAAATTTATTTTAGGGAAGTGTATACTTTTTAGTAACTGTAATACATTTAAGTTGCAATATAAGTGTGTCTTTTTTTCCCAGTTATCTGTACTAGGATTGTAATGTCTAGGTACATGAATGAAATTTATGAAGCATGGGGCTATTTCTGTATCAAATTAAACCGAAGTGAGAACAGTAATAATACATCTGCTAGTATTGTAGTTTTAAAGACTTATTTATTCATGTATTTGTTTATTTGTTTTTTTTTTTTTTTTTACAAAGTCAGATGATTCACTCCCCAAGTGAGTGGCCGGTGTGTGCCAATCTGAGGGAACCTGGGTCTCCCATGTGGGGGCAGGGTCCCAAAGCTCGACTGCTTTCCCGGGGCCATAAGCAGGGAGCTGGATGGGAAGTGGAGCTGCCAAGATTAGAACCGGCACCCATGTGGGATCCTGGTGTTCAAGGCGAGGACTTTAGCTGCTAGGCCACGCAGCCAGGACCAGCACTCTGCTGTCTTAAGTGCTACACCATGTGCCCATCCATAAGTACACTTATTGGTTTCTTCTTCTGTCATTAGGGCTGGGAGCTGCTTTCTTTTAAATGCAAGTCAAGGAACTATAGCAAAACTCTGAAAACAGTGGAGAGTTGAGAAAAGTTGGTGGGAAAATTTCCTTTGGCTGAAAAGTTTTCTTGCTCTGTAATTGAATGTTTTGTTACTATTGCTGAATGTGAATGCTAAAGGAAATAGATGGAGAGGATCTGTACTACCAGGCAGATTTTAGCAGCTAGAAGGCGTTGAAATGAGAATGATATGACCTATTGCACAGAGGTTTGAATGACTTGAAAACAAAATCTGGGCTGCAGTTTGTATTTACCACAAAAAAGCTATGTGATTTTAGGATTTCTTAGTTCCTAATACTTTTATACTTTCATCTGAGAGACTTTTGTACAGTTGAGTTACATATCTGCTAAAGCATTTTCTAGGTTTTTAAATTTGTTTGTTTGGGACTTTATGCTTTGGTAATGAATTCTAAAATTGTTCCTTTTGAAATAAACTGCTAGGACAACTCTAGATCCTAGTAAAGCCATAGTTTGAATTTACTTTTTTTTTTTCCCTAAAAACATGACTGTTATGTCTTGTGCAAAACTATAATGTGGTCTTAATATCCTTTGTGTGTTTTGTTTTAGGTTGGTACAGAGGAGTTTCAACGAAGAAACCCAATGTAAAGGTAATGAAAAGCTTATTATTTTTTCTAATGAGGAAGGATCTGCTTAGTATGTTTGAAAAATAACTTACTGTCCCACCTTTTACTCTTTTATGATAGCCACAATCATTCTAAAGATTGTAGAATTGTATAAGGCTCTTAGTGTTATCAATATTAAAAAAAAAAGGATTTTCTAAAAAATACAGAAATGTAAATGTTAAACCTGTAAAACTTATCTTGAAAAAACTTGTTGAGAGTTTTTTAAATTTCATTTTATTTATTTTTTATTACATTGCATTATGTGACACAGTTTTTTTAGGCACTGGGATTCTCCCTCCCCCTTCTCCAGCCCTCCTTCCATGGTGTTGAGAGTTTTAAGATATTTTTTTCCCTCATAGATTTGACAGAAATAAATTGACTTATTCATGGGACTAGTCTTATGGAACTACATGATTAGCTAGATGAGTTTGTTTCTAAATTATAAAATAGAAAGAATTTTTGTATAATGTCTTATTAAATATTGATAGTAGTTACATATACTGATTTATTTTATTTTGAAGGGCAGAGTTAAATAGAGAGGGAGAAAGAGAGATCTGCCATCTACTGGTTTACTCCCCAGTGGTTGCAAGGGCCTGGACTGGCCAGGCCAAAGCCAGGACCAAGGAACTTTTTCCATGTCTTCCATGTGGGTGCAGGGACCAAGGGTCTGGGCCATCTTTTTCTGTTTTCCCAGCCCAAAAGTAGGGAGCTGGATCAGAAGTGGAGCAGTTGGGGCTTAAGCTGGTGTTTACATGAGATGCTAATATTGCAGCTTCTGACTTATCTCCTTATACTACATTCCAGCCTCGGCACCTACTAATTTAATCTCCCAGCTTCATGTGCTCATACCATTGATCTTAATGTAATCAAACAAAGTAACAATTAAAATACAGTTAGGGAATTTCTCCAATAATGCATTTGCAAACCTTTTTGTTTGCCTTTAATTCATTTGTCTATTTTTCTTACATTTGGTTATACTTTTTCTCATACAGAAAAATTTCAGAATTTCAAAATTGTTATTTTGATATTTTGAAATAGAAATAGATATTTTGAAATAAAAAATTGTTTTAATTAATTTTTTCAGTAACATCATTTTAAATAATTTTAATCTAACGTTTATGAGGAAACAGTATCTTCAAGTTTTAATTCTTCATAGCCTGACTTTCTTATTCTTGGCATTAAAATTTTTTTTGCCACATAATTCATTTTTGTGGAGGACTGTCTTGTTTAATGTTAGATGTTTATAAGCCTCTATAGCTTCTGCTCACTAGATAATAATAACTCCTTCCCTTAGTTCCAACTTTAATAAAGGACTTTAGGCAGTGCCAAGTGTGTTATAGGGACAAAATTCATCCCTGATTGTTCATAGCTTATTTTTCATTATGATTTTGAAATTATGTTTTCATCTGAAGAATGCCTGTGTGGTAATAGTTACGTTGTGTTTAATTTTCTAGAGCTTGATTAAGTTAACAGCAAAGTTGTTGGAATGAATAGAAAATCTATAAATGAACGGTTCACCCCCCAAGTTTGCGGCCGGAGCTGAGGCAATCCAAAGCCAGGAGCTTCTTCCATGTCTCCCACATGGGTGCAGGGTTCTAAGGCTTCACTGCTTTCCCAGGATACAAGCAGGAGGCTGCAAGGGAATGGAGCAGCTAAGACATGAACTGGTGCCCATATGGGATCCTGGCGGATGCAAGGCTAGGATTTAGCCACTAGGCCACTGTGCCATGTCCAATAGTATAGTCCTTTAGTAACAGTTGCAAGTTTAATATTCTGCTATTAAAGCACATCATGGAATTGTGGGTATAGTCAAACATAGAAAATCCAATATCATATTGGAGTACAAGGGTTTTCCACTTGTTAAATACCCAGTAGTACAGCTGCTGAGTTATATGATAAGCCTATGTTCAGTTCTGTAAGAAGTTGCCTGTTTTCCAAAGTGGTGTACTGTGTTACTTCCCATCCACAATGAATAGAGTTCTTGTTGTTCTGTTCCTTCACCAGGAGCTGTCATTTCATGTACTTGATAAGCTTTGTCCTTGCTCCACTTACCCTGATTGTTCCAGGAGTCAGTGATGCGAAAGTTAAATATCTACTTGTTGTTGCCTGAAAAGTCACTGAAGCTCCTTTGCTCCTTATAGTTCAGATTATGTCATTTTTTTATTGTTCTTTTTCTGTTATTGCTTCTTCCGTTATCTCCATTTTACTGTTGAATTCATTTAACATTTTATTTCTTTATTCTAACTTTTTTTCTTTGCTGAGGCTTGGTTTTTTCATTTGATTCACTAAGTTTATAGTTTCTTATTGAAGCTTTTTATAAAGATTACTTTAAGTCTTTTTCATCTCTAACTTTTTTTTGTTCTCTTGGTAATGATGTATTTATATATTTTTTTCCATTAAATATGGGATGTCCTTGATTCTTGGTATGATAAGTGATTTTTAGTTATACCATAGACCTTTTGAGTATTGTGTTAAGCCTGATTTTCTTGGGTAGTGCTTTGGTAGGGAGGGAAAGGTCTCTGCCTCATTACTGCCTAGTGAGACTAGAAGTTACTGTTTCCATCTCAGTCTCTGTTGAAATGCAAAACAGAAGGGGTCCTCATTACTGCAAAATGGCAAATGAAGTTCCAGCTCTCTGGGAGGCCTCCCTGATTCTTTCCTGGCTAGGAGGAATTGAAGTGCCTGTTAATGCTACTTTTGTGGCCTCCACTGACATTAGGAGGAAGGTGGTGTCTTTCCTTATGCTAGGTAACAGTGAACAGTCCCAGCTCTCCTTGCCTGCTTTCATAATGCCATAGTAGAATTACGAAGTAGGTCTTGTTATTGTTGGTGAGGAGTAGAAGTTCAGGTGCCCTAGATCTTCATTGCCACTGTGTGGTGAAGGCATGTTACTACTAACTGTTATTGAAAATTCTGACTTCTATTTGGCTTGCCCTGATACTATACCAGTATATAATTTGAATGCCTTGTTTTCTAGCTTGATGAGGGTAAATGTCCATGCTTGCTTCTAACTGGCTTCTAGCCAGTTAGGTGTTGTTGTTTTTAATTTTGGGGATATTAATGATGTTGTATAGCAATGTAGGGAATATTTTCTAAAACTTTTCTCTCTTGACTTTCTGAATCTTTCCTGGCCCTTTGCCTAGAAAGAGCAGGCTTTTATTTATTTATTTATTTATTTGTCTGTGCCTGTTGGTATTTCCAGATGTTATTTTCTTCAACTTCTAGTAGTAGATATGAGGGTTCTTCAGAAACTTCCAAAAAAGATTGTACTATGTAAAAGCTATGTGTGAATTTCAGTTTTTTTTTTAACCAAAGTGTACTTATTTCAGTCTATTTTATGTGAACATTTTAAAGGATCCTGTTAAAAGGCAGAAACCCTTCCCTATCAAAAAAGCCTAGGTAATTTGCCTAGTCTCTTGTCTCTCAGAATCCTTAGTTGGTTTGTCTTACTCTCTCTACCTTTCAGACTTCATATTTTTGTTTTATATAATACATAAGGTTTTAAAGTTTGCTTAGCAGAAGGAACAATGAGAAGTATGTCCCTTATATTTTCTCAGTGTATGTGAGCCTGTGGGATTTAAAAGTTTTATTATTGGGCCCGGCGGCGTGGCCTAGCGGCTTAAGTCCTTGCCTTGAATGCGCCAGGATCCCATATGGGCGCCAGTTCTAATCCCGGCTGCTCCACTTTCCATCCAGCTCCCTGCTTGTGGCCTAGGAAAGCAGTTGAGGATGGCCCAAAGCCTTGGGACCCTGCACCTGTGTGGGATACCTGGAAGAAGTTCCTGGATCCTGGCTTTGGATCAGCATAGCATCGGCCATTGCGCTCACTTGTTTGAGTGAATCATCTTCCTCCCTGTCTCTCCTCCTGTCTGTATATCTGACTTTCCAATAAATAAATAAATCTTTAAAAAATTTTTTTATTATGAATTTTTTCTTTATAGATAACCACCAATCATCATTTAACTTTGGTTTCATGCATCTATGTGTTTTACTTCTATTTAAGTCCTAGGTTCTTCTATATTAAGGTTCTCTGTTGCTATAGATTATCTGTTATTATGAGCCAACATATAAAATACAATATTATTTTCCATGGTAATGGCTTTGTATGGTATAGATTGAGTTCATTATTAGTTGTAGTATGGGCAAAAGAGTATAAAAATTTGAGACTATCCATGTTTTTATTTGAAGGAAATCATTATCAAGAAAAGAGTTCGACAATTAGAAGATTAGTTTTTATAAGTCAAATCTGTCTTTTAACTATTTTTTATGATACTGTTTCATAGGCTCAGGGATTTCCCTCTCGTCCCCACAATGAGTTGCTCTGTATTATTGCAATAGTATAGTCTTTCAAAAACTGTTTTAAGTCCATCATTCTGCTATTTAAGTGTATCCTGACATTGTAGGTATGGGCAATGGCAGAGAGTCCAAAATCTTAGTGTCAACATATATTTAGCAGTTTCATTGGGATTTCCTCTTTGATTTGGGAGTAGAGATGTATACTGCATTGTATCTTCACTTCTCAGTGTGAAAGTCTCTACACAGTTCCTCTAGTTGAATATATATACATGTATGCTTACCTGTATATATTGATCTTGTATTTTACATGAAGATAGCCTTATATCAGAGGGAACATATGACATTTGTCCTTTTAGGGTTGGCTTATTTCAGTGAGCATAATGGTCTCTAGTTCAGACCATTTGGTTGCAAATGGCAAAATTTCATTCTTTTTAATGGTTGAGTAGTAATCCATAGAGTGTTGGTGTAAGTGTAGGCTAGTAGAACCACTATGAAAGTCAGTATGGAAAGTGCTAAGAGAACTGAAAATTGATCTACTATATGACCCAGCTATCCCACTTCTGGGAATATATCAAAAGGAAATTAAGTCTACATATGGGAAAGTGACCTGTCACCCTATATTTACAGCAGCACAATATGATAGCAAAGACATGAAAAAAAAAAAGATTTCAATTCTTATCTCTTAGAAATTAAAGTCAGTATTATGGTGAATATCAAACTAGAAACTGTAAAGAATATGAGAAAGTATTTAAAAAGCTCTCAAATTGGTTTTTTTCTTGGGTATATGAACATTCGCCAATATAGTTTCTATAGCTCAAAAGTTATTAGTTAGATAGTAATGTTGATTTTGAGATACACGGAGAACTCTGTACTGTATACTGCATACTGAGATTAATCTGATAGACCATCTCTAAAATATGAGTTTTTAAATTTAAAAAAAAATTGAGATACCAATGACCAGTTTCATCTTGAGCATAGACTCTGATTGCATATTGACATGAAATTCCTGTGGAATGTGTATCTAGAATAGCTCTACATTATTTATTTATTTATTTTGACTTCTTTTTAAAAATAAATTTTATTGTTCATGGTTATATGGTGGATCTGGGTGGGAAGAATCAAGGTTTGGGCAAATTGGGTGTACTAATTGCTTCCCAAATAGCTGTTTGTTTTTGTTCTCTCTGAGGGAAGGGAGACACCAAGGGGGATACCACTCATGATTTTCCACATGTCCCGGTACCCAGGAATGAGGAACTGCCACCTCATATCAACCCAGAGTCTCAATGTGTGCATATTTTGAGGGTTTTGTCCAAGTGGGTTGGATAATTCTGAAATGCTGCTGATTTCACTGATCCAAGGATGATGTCACCCTCCCACTGTCCATTGGCTCCACTCACCTAGATTTTTTGCTGTCATTGTTTGTTTGGGATAAATTGTCCAGTTAGTTCCGTTCTTCTGCTACAGCACCAAATGAGCTGCCATGTTCTGCTTGTACAACAGGGCCTGTGTCCACTGGTCCACCTTTTTCATTAAGTAGGACATGTTCTTGCAGGCGAGTCCAGCGACCCAGGCCAAGTGTTCCAAGCATCTCTGGATCCCCCACCCCTGGGCTGGGGCTCATGAACCCAACACCCACCTAGTAGCTGGAGCCCAGGATCTGGGCCAGGAGTCCCAAGCCCAACTCTACATTCTTAATGTGCAAAGTGGTATCTACTTTAGGAGGTCTTTGGGTCTGTTATCTTTTTAGTATATATGAGATTTGAATCACAATTTACTTTTTCCAATGGATATATTTTGTCTTTTACAGGGAATTTTTCCTGCAAATTACATTCACTTGAAAAAAGCAATTGTCAGTAATAGAGGGTGAGTAATTTGCTTTATTATATTGAATTACAGTTGTTATCAATGGCAAGGGAAAGCTGTTTGTGTTTCATAGTATCAAATACTCTATTGGCATATTTTTTGCAAAGATATTTATCTAAATATATACATATAATATGCTTTATCACATACAATTCTGAGGACATTGGTTTTTCTCTTAGAGTACTAACAACTTTAACCTGTTTTCCTATATACTGGAGAAATAATCTTAGTTGTGAAGCATAAAATCAATTTTAATTGGTCAGACATTTGCTACTTCAGATGCCCACACCCAGTATTAGAGTGCCTGGGGTAGAGTATTGGCTGTGCTTCCAGTTCTATCTTGCTGCTATGTACCTTGAGAAGCAGCTGGTGATTGATTTTTCAAGTACTTGAATCCTTGACACTCATATAGGAGATGTGGAGTGAGTTTTGACTCCTGACTTCTACCCTATCCGGTATTGGCTGTTGTGGACTCTGGGTAGTAGGCTGAGACATGCAGGATCTCTGTCTCTTTTGAATAGATAGAAAATATTTTAAAAGTATGCATGAAATAGTGTGTTTTTAAAATTATGTGCCATTTTTAGAAAAGTCATTGGTAGGTTAGAATTAGAGAGAATTATGTCATTTTGTTTATATATGACAAAGTGAAAGAAGCTTTAAAAATTGTTGAATTTGGCCTGGTGTTATGGCTCAATTGGCTAATTCTCCCCCGCAAGTGCTGGTATCCCATGTGGGCACCAATTTGTGTTCTGGTTGCTCCACTTCCCATCCAGTTCCCTGCTTCTGGCCTGGGAAAGCAGTGGAAGATGGGAGGCCTAGAAGAATTTCCTGGCTCCTGGCTTTGCATTGGTTAAATGGCTGTTGTGGCCATTTGGCGAGTGAGTCAGAGAAAGGAGGATTTTTTTTCTCTGTTTCTACTTCTCTCTGTGGATCTGTCTTTCCAGTAAAAATAAACAAATCTTTAAAAAATTGTTGACTTGTAAGTACAAATTGAAAAGATATTGAAAAGATACAAATACATGAAACAGAATTAGTACATAGTTTGCTAGCAATATGGAAAACAAACCTGCGTGCAAAAGAGACAAGTAAATATATCAAGATGTTGAACAAAAAACTGAATGTGTAAGAGTAAAATTTGGCATCCTGTGATTTGATTATTGTTTATAACATTTATCCATATTCTTGTGAAATGATGGTTTTTCTGCTTTTTACTAGTTTAACGCTATATTTAGTTGTGCATTAAACCCGTAATGATAAAATAAGTAGAAAACATGTTGTTACAAAAGTTAAAGAAAGGAAGTGGTAGGAGGAATATCATTATGGTTTTAGAATTATATCTGTAAAATATATAGCATCCATTGGCTTTGTATATAATTTAAAAATTAGTAAAAATTTCTTTACTATTTCCTGTTATAACAATGTAGCAAGCTTTATCATTTAAGGTTATAAAATTCAAGTACTGTGTATTTTCCAATTGAGGTAGCTTTCTTTAGGAGAAATGATGTTTTTGACCAGAGTTAGTAAATATTAGAGTAACTTCTAATAAGTTGGGTTCAATCAGAAAATATAAACTACACAAGTTATTTTATATGGTGAGATTGAATATAGGAAATTATTTATTCACATCTAAAAATAATAGCAAAAGAAAAAATACTATAGTCCAAATATGATAATTGTACAAAATCATCATGTTTAATGGCAGGGTCTGCAAAAGATTATAGGTTGGGTACCTGGAAGAGGAATCTTGAGACGCTGAAGCCCAGATGTTTGAGGAGACATTGCAAGGCTTTTTTGCTGGAATATAGGATGAGTTTGACAGTGAGGTTGTTTAAGGATTGCTGTTATAGAGGCTGGAGCTAGTTGAAACCTGTGGGGAAGTGTTTAGAGTTTCAAGAAACATGCATCACTTTACCACTCCCTTGCCCCTTCCAAATGTTCCTGGCTGACTAATGAGACTGTGAAGCAATGTATGAATGCCATGTTCAGGATCATTGCTTAGGAAGGTAGATGTGGAGATGATAATTAGTAAGATGGTTGGTATGCTTTTCAAAGTAAAATTTGTTATTGGAGAATAATAAGAATATAATTTAGGATACTCTGGTATGAAAACATGACGAGTTTTATTTTTCCCTTCTGTTACAAAAAGGTTTAAGCTGCAAGAGTAGAAAGGGGGGAAAACTTGAAAACCCTGTTTTAGTGAGCCTTTATACTAGTAATTGCTACTTCAAGTTTATAAGTAAGGGCTAGTCAAAAGAAATTCAGAGTTTTGAGGGGAAAATAGTAGTATCTCTGGGTTAGCAATACATATAGTTTGGAGGTATGGGGGCAGCTAAGAACAAAGAAAAGGAACTGTGGAAGCTGGCATAGAAGCTAGCATAGCTCTGTGAGGTTAGAAGTTCACAGTTCTAAGATTTGTCTCTCAAGGAAAGAGGAGTAGAACATGCATCCAGTGTCCCAGAGTCCCAGATTTTTAGTGTACTGCTCTAGAGAAAACGGGCAAGTGTTTTCTGTGGCTAATATAATGCTACAAGATTTAGAGAAGGAAAATAACGAAGACTTTTCCCCCGGGAGGATGGGGAAGAGTGAATTGTGTGTCTAGTGTTTTTGTAGTGCATTGCCCTTGGTAAACTGCATGAAAAATTCATGCAGTTAGGCTCTGTGACATTGGGAGAAGGCATACAACCTTGACTCCCAAAGAGGAAGGAAGGAATGGAGAGTTTACACTAATAGAAAAAGATCTGAGAAACTCTTTGGTTCTCTGGCTGTTTACTAAAGGTCTTTCCCAGTGGAAACCAGTCAATAAAAATCAAGAGAGGTGTCTTTCAGCAAAGCTACAAGAAATGTAAAGAATTGGGGAGATGCACTGCTTGCTAGAAGCTTGAGCTGGGGATGGGACCAGGAGGGAGTGTGATCTGGACCTGGGGGATTGGACTTCCAGCAGCCACCTGGCTGCGGGGGGTTGGGGGGACCTCCGGGACCAGGGGCATCTCATGCCTGGACACACATGCTGGCCACCACACGTACATGGTGGGTGGCTCCTGGGCAGCCAGTGCACCATTTGGTGCTAGGCTCCGCCTGCTGGCCACCCGGCCAGATAGCTTGGAGATTTTGGTTCTTTGAGTGGCTGCTTGGTTAGCTCCATGCTCAACCCACAGTGCTATGGGGGTGTGAATCAATCAATCAATGACAGTAAATCTTCCTCTTGAAGAACCTGTAATTAATATTATCTCAACCTCAAGTAGCTTATGCAACAAGATATTGTGAAATAACCAAAGAACCAACAATTAATGCGACTCACACTGTTTATGATCTATATCAAAGAACTGTAAAACCTAATATATTTTTAATACCCTATGTTATTCCGTAATGGAGCGGGAGAACAGAGAAATGGCCCATCTCCCTAGAATGTATAAGGTAGACGTGAAACACAACTATCAAGATCATAATTCTTAAACAACAGACTCGAATCAGATTAAGACAATAGTTAAACCACAAAGACACATAGGGGGATTTAAGAGCGATTCTGACAACCTCTTAACAGGAGGTCATATGCAAGGAGCAGGGGAGGACCCCGGAGCAGTGCAGGGGGACAAGAGGAGGCTTGTATCCCAACCCTGAAGAATCCTGGATCCTCATCAAGGTCTATCAGTATGAGCACCAAGGACTACATCCCAACTACCAAGGAGACCACGGGGAATTGGAGTGCCCTCGGAGGTCAAGAACTCTGTAGTCATCCACTCCCGCTTGAATCTATCACATGGGATGGAAGAAGTCCAAATCCTCCCTCGCAAGATCCAAGAGCATCAGAACAACAGCCAAGAGCCCTGAGCAGTCTGCAGAAACAGAAGAACAGTAAACTTCCTTCAGGACTAGGGAGGGGAGCTCTCTCTCTGGTCCTCGCTTGGTTCCAACTTTGGGTCCACGTCCTCTCTAGCAATGACCATCAGGAAACCCCTCAAAACAAACAAATAATCAAACAAAAAAACAAACAAAAAATCTAGAATAGATAGAGAACAAGGAAAGCCTAGAATCAGACAGGAAACGGTCAGTGCGGATTCACTTAATATCTTACTAGGTGGGACACAAAGATTAGTTACTCCTCACTAGGGCATTGAAGATTTCTCTGCACACCGCTCCATAAAACTGTTTTGCACCTAAACTGTTGACATAAGTCTTGTTAGAGTTATAAGCCAGTCTAGACTTCCTGAAAAAAAAAAAAAAAGCCAGGTTAAGCAAAATTACACTTTGACGGTATAAAAAGCTAAATACTACACTGAAAATAGACACGAGACAGCTGAATAATAATCTATAGCCATTTTATGGTGTATAGGACCCGGTTGTATATAGACTAAAATTGGATTATCAATGAAGAAGTCACAGGATGTGGTTAAGAACTTGCATCTTTTTTTTTTTTAACATATTGGTTACTCAATACTATGTCCACTAATTCCATAACGTTATAAATTGTGCTGATGTTATGTTGGGGCTTTTGATTGATCAGGATGATACTCGGCCGGCTCTACCTTCAGACCAGATATGGTCTCCCCAAGAAGCCGTTGAACTTGTCTGGACAATAAGATACTGGACTCTATGCTTGGTATATGCTTGCAGTGAAAGAATCTCAGCTGAACTTGAACGGTGGCAATGCAGCAAGGTGGAGGAATCCACCATAGTGGGAGGGTTATGGGAGGGGTGGGTGGAATCCCAGTACCTATAAGACTGTGTCACATAATGCAATGTAATTAATAAAAAAAAAAAACACAGAAAAAAAAAAGAATTGGGGAGATGTGATACAACCTAGGCATAAAAACATCTAATAATTGACCATAAAAAATGAACTCTTTGGATTGCCTGACAAATAATTCAAAATTTACCTTGAAGTATTATGGGTTGCGAGAAGTAGACAACTAAGCACAAACATGATAAATGAACAACATGAAATGTCGAGATAGAATCCATAAGAAACAAAAACCAAAAAACTGACCCATTCAGATATTCTG